CCCCCCCCCCCCCTCGGGATCCACTAAAACAGGACCCCCCACCAAAACCACCACTTCGGGCCCCACCTCCTCCGGACCCACTCCCCAGAGCACCACAATAGTAACGGAAACATCTAGCCATGAGACCACTACCACCACGACTGGGAGCCCTCCGACAGGATCACTTGTCAGCACCGTCAGCACCACAAGCTCAGGAACCCCCCCCCCAGAGCCTACAGCCAGCACTACTGTATCAACACCATCAACATCAACAAGCCCAGTGACAGTCACCACCTCTGGAGTCACTGAAACAGGATCGACCACCAAAACCACCACTTCGGGCCCCACCTCCTCCGGACCCACTCCCCAGAGCACCACAATAGTAACGGAAACATCTAGCCATGAGACCACTACCACCACGACTGGGAGCCCTCCGACAGGATCACTTGTCAGCACCGTCAGCACCACAAGCTCAGGAACACCCTCCCCAGAGCCTACAGCCAGCACTACTGTATCAACACCATCAACATCAACAAGCCCAAAGAACAGTCCCACCTCTGGAGTCACTGAAACAGGATCAATCATCCCTTCAGGGCCCACCCCCTCCAGACCCCCTCCCCAGAGCACTACAATAGTAACGGAAACAGGTAGCCCAATGACAACAACTGCAACTCGCACTACTCCAACAAGACCAACTTCCACCAACACCATGACTTCAGGACCACCCTCCCCAGAGCCTACAGCCAGCACTACTTTATCTCTGCCATCAGCATCAACCAGGCCTGTGTCAGTCACCACTTCTGGTACAACTCGAACAGAATCTTTTACCACCACTTCAGAAACAACCTCTAGTAATTTTACCACAGTCACTGCAACCACCACCACCACCACCTCCGGAATTGTTTCCTCTGGCTCAACTAGTACTTCTCGGCCAACTGCAACATCAAGTGCAGTGACCATTCCAGGAAGTTCTACGTACAGTACAGTTACTCCACTCAGTGCTTCAGGTTCAACTACAAGTCTACCACCAACCACTCCTGGAAGTAATTGTTCTATTTTACCTAATGAATCTTATGTGGTAAGTAGATTTCATGAGGTTTTTAGCATTCTTCTTTGAATGGATACTAGGCATATAATTTCAATGTTAGTAACATACGGAGTATGTATTAATCTGGATAGAAAAGGAAATATCAGTCCATTCTATTTCTGTTTTCTTGGGTACCAGCCTGACTTCCAATGATATTCGATTTGATAGCTTATATGCTGCTATTAGTGCTTCAAGGTTAGTTTTAAAAAGGCTTTCTTCAAGGAGTTAAATCACAGCTCAATGTTTCTCTTTATTGTAGGATAGCTTTGATGAAGAGGTAACCAAGGGCTAAGTGGTGCTAAACTATCTTTTTCTGTTTCTGCTTTTGAATAGGTCCAGAGTGGGGAAAAGTTGTTTGTGTGTTTACAGTGCAGCCCAACAAGAAACCACAGGGCTGACCTAGTTTGAGTTTGGAATGAGTCATACTTGGTCATAGTCTGGTTTCAGAAGAGGACTGTGAAACAGGTCACCACATTCAAATGCTCATGAAATTTGACTCAGAGTTCTGAGTTTTTCAGAACCCTCCACCTCTGACACAGACAAGCTAATGTCTTGTACCTTTCTAAAGCCTCCTCACAGCTTAGATGTCTCCAACTTGCTCTGTAGATCTGCAGGGATAAAAATTATACATGGCTGAAAAACTGGTGGAAGATAGAAAAAATGCATACAATCACAATGCATGCACGTAATCACCTTAGACATTACTCCCCATATAGCTGGCGTTCACTGTAGCTTTAGCTGTTAATCTGTTCTAGGCATTCATGGAAGGGGATTGATCATATATTGATCAATGATATTGATCAGTGTCTTTCACTGTCGATTAGAGAGGGAGTCTGGGTGATGAGGTAAGATCTGACATCTAACTTTTAGATAGCTGAAACTAAAAAAGGCAATTCACACTTCAGGTTATGGGTTTGTGTCCTGGTTTCGGCAGGGATAGAGTTAATTTCCTTTCTAGTAGCTGGTACAGTGCTGTGTTTTGGATTTAGGATGAGAACAAAGTTGATAAGGCACCGATGTTTTAGTTGTTGCTAGGTAATGCTTACACTAGCCAAGGACTTTTCAGCTTCCCATGCTCTACCGACTGAGAAGGCTGGAGGTGCACAAGAAGCTGGGAGGGGGCACAGCCAAACTGGCCA